TATTTGGAAGACTACTTAACAAGGTCTCTGTGTATCTGAGATCTGAAAACTTAAGGAGCCAAACAATCCATGAGGACACACCAGCCATTGGTTCTCACTCATTTGTCTTATCTTCAAATTTTCAGGATTCAGTGGTCAATATCATCCAAAATAAACATATATTTTGGAATGCTGATTTATTTTTCATAACAATTGTAAAGGAGTTTTTTGTATTGTGAGTACCTAGATTCAAGTTCTGTCACAGTTTTAGAAACCAGGATGCAAACTGCATGTTCTCTGAGTTATACTCAAAACTGATGGCAGAGATGCCCAAGACAACCCTTAAAGAAAAATAAATCAATTTAGTTCTCAGATCAAGACATCTAAGTTTTATCTGATGGAGATAGCAAAGACATCCTAGAAGTTCATGTGATAAGCAGAGTCTGCCAAAGAGATGAACTGATGTTTTGGGTTCTAAAGAAGCATTCAAATGAGAAAGGATGAGAACTCAGGGTCAAATCAATAAACAGAAATACTGAAAAGCTTTTATCCTGAAGTATACTCCCCTCTAATGAGAACTTCAGTAGAATGCTAGCCACTCTGTCTCCCTGCTCAACAATACTTACTAGTGGGTGGCAATTTGGCAAACATGATACTTCAGAAAGAAGCTTCATACTGATGATACTCCTTAGCTCTTTGAACATTCCAGTCAGATCTATAAATCTGAAAATAAAGAGGGAGAGAGCAGGTTTGAATGACAGAGTGTAAAAAAAGGCAATTCTGAAGACCTAAGAATAGGGAGCAAGGAGCTGTTTGCCAGGGTAGAAAGAGAGCACGGTCCTTCAAAGTAAGAGTTTCAGTTGCTGGGTAAAGAATCACTCATTTCTTTTCTTTCTCCTCAGTCTAATGACTAGCACTCATTCACATGTGGGAGTAAAAAGGAGTTTTTCATCAGAAAGACGGAAAGAGGCCAACCCTCCTGGAGACTGAGGCTGGTGAGCAGGCCCTGATGGAGTGGAAGAGATGTGCACTGGGCACAGCGTCAGACTGGTCAGAAAATAAAACTGGCAAGAGCAACTACAACTCTCAGGTGACAGTCCTCTCAGCATCTGCTACACACTGACAGCATCAAATCCTGCTTCTGTTTTCTCTACCAGCCCTGACTTTTGCTCTTGTCAACACCTGAAGCACAGCAGTGTTTGACCCAGACATGACAGCAGTTGTGTTCTGCTTCAGGGCAGGCTGAAAGCATTACAGCACTGACTGGACTGGTGTCTGTTTTGCATAGCTCACACTGAAGCCCATACAGGATCCTCAGACCCAGCACTCTCGCTTAAGGGACTTGACCCACTAAATGTTGTCAAAGATGTATGATATAGACTTTATTCTAAATACGGCGTTAGCTATCATTCTATTCTGAATCATGGCTGGATTAAAAGGAGATACTGTTTCACCTAGGTATACACAAATGGGTGGTAAATCCTCCTGCAGTTTGCTTCCCTGCCTGCCGGCAGTACTTCAGAGCTTGTGCACATGGGATTGCAGCCCAGAGCTGCACAGCTCAGAGAAGTCTCCTGGCCATCAGGCTGGATTACATTGTAACATCATTAAGTGAGGATTGAGACAGGAATCACAGAAAGGAAAACTTCTGTCTAGCTCATTTTATTGCACACGGACTAATGGCTATAATTTATATAAGCAGACCTTAAACTGAAGCCTGGGCCTCCTTCTTCCAGTGTGAGTACTATGGTAATAATGATGCTTCCGACAAAAGCAGCGTGTTACAGGAGATGTGGAGGGTTTTCCCTTCTTTCAGCAGCCCACTGACTGCTCCTAATTAGTCCCTAGCACAACATTTTTGTCACTTGCTCATGAAGGGACTGTAAATTCCCTGAAGCCATGTTGAATCAGGATCTTGATTTTGGGAAGGGGGTGGGTGGGGGGAGAGGGAGCGGAGTGGAAGAAAAGAAAGAAAAAAAAAAAGAGAGAGAATCCTTTAATGATTAGTTTAATGATGCAGCTGTAATAAAGTTGCTGTTTTACTGAAAGGAGCTTTTTCAAAGATACTACAGACATTTCTGTATTTGTGGGGGCTTTCAAGAGCATGAGAGGAATATCGTTATTAAAAGCCCTTCTGTAGCCCATCAGTCTCCTGGCATTGCACAGGACATGAAAACAAGAACAGTTCCATCACAGAAAAGCTTTCACTCTAATAGATAGTTTTGTACAGGGGCAGGAAAACAGACAGGATCCTGATGCTTTTGGAAGAAAGAGACAGCAATCAGCAATTCTCTGCAACAGAAATCTCTACCGGTGATGCCAGAAACCTTACATTTGTACAGATTGTCATGAGAAAGGTTTTATGTCCTAATTAATGGACTGCCAGCATCACACAGTTTGTGTCCACACAAGATCAACAAAGATTTTCAATAGGGGCTGTTTTTTCACCAGTGCCATTTGGTGGAAGAAAGCTAATTACCAATTGTTCTCGTACAAGTCCAATACTGGAAAACAGTCTTCCTTGCAATTTAGTATGTAACAAGTGTCAAAAGCACCTTTAGGCTGAGAAGTTGCACAATGTATCTGACTACATCATGCCAAGAGCAAACTTGTCAACATTCAGCCTCAACAAAGAGTTGCTGGGCTCACAAGCAGCTGTATTTACTGAACCCTGTAGTTTTGAACTCCTTTCAGACTGTTTGATACATCCCAAGAGCATGATTTCTGTGCAAAATCTGCTTATTGGCAGATGGCCTCTGTCCAGAAGCTGAGCAGATCACGTAGGGATCATCACCACTCCTGCTGATTTCTTGAGCATCTGAGCACTGACTTCTAGACAAAAGAAAATCCCAGGCAGATTAAGATGAAAAAGTGAAATTGGAAATAATAGTTCTTATTGCCTTAAGTATTAGACACTTCACTCTGACTGAGATCCAAAGCGATTATAACTATATCAAGACTTCATGGTTGGAATCTAAATAACTTGTCTGCAATCAGTGCCACCACTGCACCTATCAGTGCTTTGCACCTACCAAGGTCTGAACAAACTGTAGTTCAAATTGTTAGTATTTTAAAACCAGATTATTTTAAAAAGATTGCAAAATCACAACCCCAAGATGTCAGAGTTCAAGAAGTGTTTGAACAAAGCTCTCAGACACAGGGTTTGAGTTTTGAGTGGTCCTGTGTTGAGCCAGGAGTTAGACTTAAAGATCTTTGTCGTACCTTCCAACTCAGCATGATCTATGGTTTGGTGATGCTGTGTAAATATAAATGGATGGCTGCTCCATGAGCTTTCACATCTCCATTCCACAAGCAGAACTCTAAGAATTCAGGCTCAGTATTTTCAGCTTTTATAGGAGGGGAAGAAAATAAAACTTTAATGTTTTCTTCTTCAGAGTGTACTAGCAGTCTGTATCATTTGGTAGACTCGTTTATTCAACTTAATGCCACCTACTGTTTTGATATACTGAGACAACAATGGTTTAATGGTTTCTTCTAAATGAAAAAAAGTAGATACTTTAAACAGATGAATATTCTGCTGGAGTGTCTGAAACTGAACAGTGTCAGATCAGTAACCTGAAGGTTAACAGTTTTTCTGATCCATCATCCCAAAAGAGAAATGCAGGAATTAAATACAGAATATGAATGATTAATAAAAAAGTTGAGAAGATGGTGATCTAGAAGTCTTTGAAATCAATAGTATACAGTTTTATCAGATGTTAACCTATATTAAATCACATTTTTAACAGATTCCTTTTACTATACTGAAGAATTCCAGTTTGCTTGTAGCGTTAATTTTATGGCAAGAAGGATTCTTTGGATATTATATGCAGCCATAAACACTTATCAAAAAACAGTTTGTTATATGCCCTTGGAAGAAAAGTTGCAATTAACAAAAGCTTTTATACACAAGCCTATTTATTGAGACTTATTCTATAAACTGTATTCCTTAATGACAACAAATCTACAGTCTTTGTTATTTACTGAAGTAGTCTCTGCTCAGCTTCAGTCTCTAAACACAGGGTACTCTAAATGATGAGGGAAATTAGTGTAAAACTTCACTGGAGAAGGTTAAAGATCGCCCTGGATGAAAGGAAGGGTTTTCTGAGGCTTTCGGCTGCAGCTTTGCCTCCTTCTGACCCGGTCACACTTCCCCACTCGAAGCAGCTCTCCCTCAGATCCCCTGCCCCAGACAAGCCACAGCCGCGACAATTAATTTTAGATATCTCCTTGTATCATTTGGTAGACTCGTTTATTCTCATAAAAGCTCGTTTCACTGCGGAGCTCGTTTCCGATCATTTAATTAACTGGAGAAATTTTTTTCCAGAACAATGCCTTTTGAATTTCTCTGCCCTGCGGTTCCGCCTCCCTCAGCGCAAAGGGAGCTGCCACGCATTAATCGGGGACGGGGCGTCCGCCGCTGCGCCCTCCCACGAACCCTGCGCGGCGGCGGCGGCGGCGGCGGAGCGAATCCAGATGTGGCCGTGGGAGCTCTGCCCGCGCTCGGCGGAAAGTTGTCGGAGACCGCCGCCCGGGCAGCCGCGGTGAGGAGCGGTGAGGAGCGGGCGCGGCCGCGCAGGGGGCGGGAGGCGGAGCGGGGCGGTGGCGCGCCCCTCCCCGGGACACCGAGGGCTCCGTCCCGCTGCCGCGGAAGTGGCGCGGCGAGGATGCGGCGGGGCCGAGAGGGGATAAAAGCCCCGGCAACAGCTCTGTGCCGTGGCTGATAGTCTGTTGCTTTCTCTTCTCGTCCTTCGTCGGGCTGTGTGCCAGCCCCGGGCGGCGGCCAGTTCTGCCTGGGGAAGCGGAGCGCAGCGCAGCGGTGCCGCTGGCGCGCTCGGCGGCTCCGAACTTCCCCCAGCCGGCACGGCGGCGGAGTGCGAGAGGAGCGGAGCGGAGCATGCGGGGCTGGAAGCGGCAGGGCCGGCCCCGCTCTCCTCGGCTATGAGGCGACCGCCGGGCGCTCCAGGTAAATCGGCCCCAGCTTGGCAGAGGGCGGGCGAGGAGCTGCGGGGATGGAGAGCGGTCTGCGCTTGGGCGCTCCGTGGGCAGCGGCGGTCGAAACGCGGCCTCTCCCCGCTCGTCCAGCGGCTCCGCCGGGGAGCGGTGTTGAGTGCCCGGGGAGAAGGGAGGAGAGTGGCGGTGCGGTGCTGGAAGGCGGCGTGGTCCCGGGTCCGCCGAAACTTTGCCCCCCGGCTGATGGCTGCGGCCGGCACTGCCTTCGGGGCACTGTTGGGAGCCCCCACAGCGCGGAGAGAGGCTTCTCGGGAGCGTAGCCTGCCAGAGAAGCTGTTGGAGGCGGTGAGGATCCTACGCTGGGCAACTAAACTTTCATAAGATCTGGCATTGCTTAGAGGCTGGTTGCTGCTGGTGTATTGGAGGCACCAATGTTTGTCACTGCCTTTTTCCTAATTATTTGATTATCTCCTTAGCAACTGAAGTCATTTGCAAGGTTGGAGCTAGGATGTATCTTAGTTTAAGAAGTAGAATGTCAAAAAGGAGGCATTGTTGTTTTGCTGAGAGAATTTCTCTCGTGCTCTTTTAAGAGGAATAAAAGCTGCAGAGTGATTCCTTCATGCAGGCACCAGTGCCATAGATGGATTGCTGCTGATAAGCCCAGCTCAGCTTCAGTGGTACATCACCCAGTTGTTCATCTGCATCTTAGCTTTCTTTAAGCCAACTGCATTTTCATGGGTGCAAAAAAAAAAAAAAAATTAATCTGCCTTCAGAGAAATTCAGTCTTCAGTGAAAGATGAGTGGGAGAAATAGTTTAAGTAGGTGAAGTTAGTAGGACAAATCCATCTCTCCAACACTGCTGAGTTCTGGCCAGGTGCTGGCTACAGAGAACACTCAATTTGCCAGACTGACCTCGGGGTCAGCTTGCAGCAAAGGTGATGCAAGGCCATTTTTCATCACGGTTGGGTCTTGCACCAAGCACAATTTAAGCCAGTTCTGGGATTTAGTCCAGAATATCAATACATCTCCCAGATGTAGTTCACCAGCAGCCTCTGCTCTCAGATCCATCATGTCACTAAACCTCACGGATTATGATGGCTGGGTAATCCTGCTCTGCCCAGTCAGAAATGCTGAACACAGCTGCAGAGGCAGCTTTGATGCAGGGAGTGCCTTCCCACCCTGGAGCGTTTAAAGCAGAATTCATCCTGGATGCTGAGAGAGGTGACAGCTTCCCCACCACGGGCACACACTAGGAGAGGAAGTTTGTGCAGACCTTTCTTGTAAGTGTAACATTTTAAAAGGTTAATTATGTATGACGCCATTAGTCTGTTTGCAATTATTAATATTTCTATCATGTACTGAAGCAGGATTTGTAAAGTTAGAATTAAAAGTATCAATAATTGTACTCGTATAATATTGTTACTGTTAATTAATAAAATCTCATTTTGACAGTCTGTTGGTTTTGTTTTGGTTTGGTTTTTTTTCCATATTTGTGATAAAAGTTTTTTTAAATGCCATAGGGGAAAAAAATAGATTGTGAAGAAACACTTCTAGCACCTGAGCCATCTCTGCTTCATTTCCTCTGTTATTGTATTTAATTAATGCAGCTTTTATCCATCTGATACCTAGAGAGGGGAAAGGGGGAGAGCAGCTGTGTGGACCTTCAAGTGAGTGGGAAGTGCAGAGTTGGGCGAGTGGCTTGTGGGCTGACAAGGTAGGCAGATAGAGAGGAGATAGGACTGGGAACTGAATGTGACACAAGGAGAACATCTAGGAGATGTGGAAATAGTGTGGACTTTTTGGAGGGTAGACTGAAGTCTTCGGTATTGTCCTAGGGTTTGAATTCTCAAATCTATAACTCAACAGTACTTGTGTGGTATTGGCAGGCTGTTTATTTGCATTTTCACAGAGCAGAATGTGTGAGCCCACTGTAGAGCACAGATCAATCCATTTTAACATTGAAAAGACTGGTGGTAGTGTTTACAAAAGCATTCAATTGGCTTGTGATCTTCAGTCCCTTTCTCTACTTAAATTAAGAGACTTGTTTGAGGGGGGTTTTTTGTGAATTTTTTTTTTTATTATTATTTGTTTTAGCAGAGTCTTGAACTGAGAGAGGTACCTGGGTATATAAGTTTATTTGGAAGAAAAAGCAGTAAGTCTGGAGATAATTATAGGAAAAGAGAATGTTGATGCAGAGATAACCTAGAGAAAGCGGAAATTACTCTTTAGAGCATTAGTTGATTTTGCAAAGATAACTGATAGTGAGGAAACGCACAGTGCTCAGCATTTTCTTTTTCCATAAGTAGATCTAGTTGCTTATTACTTCTAAAAACCTTAAAAAACATCAAAACCAAGAGCCAAATCCTCTAGGAGCTGATTTGTTGCAGTAAATTGAGCTGTTACTGGCAGTAGAGGATATTCCCTATGAAATGAGAATGTCTTGCATTTTTTCTCAAACAGTTAAGAACCATGCACCATTGCTGCATAGATGATTCATCTCAGGAAATACTGTGGTTTTTTGGCAGTGAACTTAAAATATCACACTTAAACATCGCAAAGAAATTATTTCTTTGAAAAGAATTCAAGTACAAAACCCCTCAGCCATGCCCTTCACTCAAAAAAAAGTTACCCATTTCATTCAGAAATAAGGATGAAGTATTTAGCTGGAGCCTGCTGGCACATGTTAGCTTCTAGAATTTAATAGCAAATATGAAAACTGAGAATATATGTAATATTGAAATTTGTGAAGTAGTACTTTTATAAGACCTGAATTAATGTTACTGGGATGAAATAAAATGTAAATCTTAACATAAGGCTGACTGTAGGCCTTATTCTTCCTTGCCAATTAAAAGCTGTGTGTTACCAATCTTTACATTGTTCATGCAACCACTTTAAATGGATTCAAATTGTAATGTAGATTATGAATATTTATGTTTAGCATTCTTAGCTTTCCACCAGCCTGTGCGATTTGCACTGAAGTTGTGGAGAACACAAGGATGGAGTAATTACACCTCAGTAGTCTTGCTCTCCCGAAGATCAAAGACCCTACTGAGGATGAAGTCACTGCACTGTGAATTGGGCTTGGCAGTGTACTCAAAATAACCTGGTTTGGCCTCTAGTATGTCAGTATGAGTATGGTGCTCGTAATTTGGTTTTGCCTTGCCAAGCAAGCTGTCATCCAAAACAGTTCTCATTTGGCAACTTTATTGAGCTTTGGAAATGGGCAAACAAATTTTCAGCCATTGCAGACTGGTTCTATTCCTTAGAACTCAAAGGTTCAATGCTGATTTACACCAGCCCCAAAATTGCCTTTGGGCTATGGTTGTGAACTAGCTCAGAGTTTCTGCTGAGTGAGTTGTAAGTATGGACAGAAAAATATAAGCAAGGCTATTTGGTGTATTAAGCATGGTAAGCCTTCCCAAAATGAGCATTGACCTGTATGCTCCATTTGGAGTATCTCCAGGATTCCAGTTGCATTCAACATACGAGCTGATTTTGAAAGTGCCATTCATCATTTTGCAAGCACAGTTCCATGCAGAACTAGACTGCAGTTGCTGCAAAATCTGGTATTCAAATATTAGCAGGAAAGCCAACCTATGCAACAACAGTCTTCCATTTTATGAATCCATTATAATTTAGTCTTTATTCATCTAGTTTTATGATATATAATTTTCAGATATCTTGTTTCAAGCAATGTACTAACTGAATGAGCAGTTATTAAAATCTTTTTTCAGTGTTTCCATTGTGCCTCATGTACTACATCCAATAAACATGCACACAGGAGTACAGATATAGTTCCTGATAGTCATTTCTCTAATGATTTCATAGATCACTGCCTCTAGAAGAGCTTATATATATCTATTAGTTTTTCTTTTCCATAAAAGACAGGCTAACTAGCAAAAACTTTTATGTTACGTGCTTAGGGCTCATTAAAAAATAGTTCCTCATGGTTCCTAACTTTTCACTGACAACTAGTTAGATACTCCAGTAGGATCTAAAATTGTAGAAGACTTTATAAATCTTGATAGTAAGCTTTTATTCATAAAATCATAGAATGGTTTGGATTGGAAAGGACCTTTAAGATCACCTTGTTCCAACCCCCCTGCTACAGGCAAGGACACCTTCTTCTAGACCAGGTTGCTCAAAGCCCCATCCAGCCTGGCCTTGAATGCTTCTAGAAAGGGGGAATCCACAATCTCACTGGGCAAACTGTTCCAGTGTCTCAGTAGAAGTCTAATCAGTTGATTTATTTTCGTAGTGTACCTGTGGTACAGCACTAATGTGCTGTAATTAAGATCATGTTTCTACCTCCATTTTATACACAGTGAAGCAGGGAGAGGACCTTATAATCAAAAGTGCTAGGTAGAATTATAAAACTTTGAATCTCATCTCAACACTTCTTCAGACCAGTCTTTCCTAAGTTTAATATATAGAAGTTCATTATTTTTTCAGTCTCAAGATGGTGACAATAATGTATTCATGATTTTCTAACAGTCACCACTTCACATAATATGCTGACATCACAGGAATTCTGTGGCAGAGACTTGGATATGTTCCAGTTCTCATGTACAGGCATTTACTTAGCCCTTTTCAATGTTCCTCAAATCCTATGCACAATGTGAGAAAAGTTTTTAGGGGGGAAATAAATATGAGTGATCATTAACTAAGAACTGTAATAAGAATCTAAATTGGCACAGAAAACCTTAATTGTGACACTTCAATTTTTAAATACTTGTCTTGGAAGTCCTGTTATTCTCTTAATATAGTTTTTGGGAATGCGAGCATTTAAACACATTGTATATATAAATTTTCATGAAGGGCGAATTCTCCCCTTCTGCTGCCTTCATATTTCTTCTTTTAATGAGTCATTAGAAGGTTCAACTCTCTGGATTCATAGCACATCTTCTACAATTTAGCTTATGAGTAGATGTCTTGTTGGCAGAAGACAGCACCTGCCAGCTTGGCAGAGGGTTAGAGAGGAGGGGAATAAGGAACTGAGAGGTGAGTAGAAATTAGTGCATTTCACATAAATTGACTGCATAGACAATCTTAGGTTCACAAGTAGCAAATGCAAATTCTCTGGAGAAGTGTGTTCCAAGATTTGCCTCTTGAAACATTTGCCTCTCTTATTCTCAATCCTCCTCATGTCCCTTATCCCTTTCCTATCTATTCTTGTCTTATCTGCTTTACAGGACTTCTGCGTGCTCATGGCTTCTTAACTACTGAATCCTAGTTGCTTCATTAGTTACAATAATGATGCTCCACTGGCAGAATCCTTCTTTCCTGATTTTACCCTTCCTTCCCTGTGCATTTTTTACCTTCCTTTTCCCCTTAACTCCTTCTTTGGCTGCCTCTCTACATTAGTCCTCCACACTTTAGATCTTGATTTTAACACTTCCATCCTTTCTTCACCCACCTCCCCTTGTCAATAGAGTACAACTTCTCCTTTTATTCTGCTCCTCTCCACTTGATTTCCATTTGTTTCTCCCTGCTGCCTACAGGCAGCCTCCCATCTCCCAGCTCTGGGACACAGCCACAATCAGCAGCACAGAGCAGATGTTGGTGGGGTTGTCCTCCTCATACTGTACCAACGGGTGGGTGAGATCAGAGAAATGAGAACAAGTTTGGTATGTGGGAGTTGAATACCACATTTGATCTATGAAAGGGTGGGGATAATCAATGCATATTGATTCACCTGGGAATTTAGTGGCAAACTCTGAACAGGTATCCAGGGAGAGCAAGAGTGAACAGAAATGTTAATTACACTGCTAATTACGTGTAGATTTTCCTAGGAGATGGCAAAAAAAAAAATCAAAAACCATATACCTTGGCACAGAACCACTACCCTGTCAAATTTTGAGTCCCTGCTTCAAGTTGTAGTGACACTAAAATATTCTCAAAAAAGAGTATGGTAGATTTTGTTCTTAATACTTAAATATGAGCAAAATATTTTTCCCTTTAATGACTTCAGTGAAACAGTTGAGTCATCCTAACTGAAAGTTCCCCAGACTTCTGCTTGAGGTGGGCACCAGCTTGGAAAATTTTTCTCCTCTACAATTATTTTGGCTAATGTAAAAGCAATAGAATGTGAAACATTCCTGTTGGATGTGGTGGTGGTTTCACCTTGGTGGCAACTAATTTCCACCACACTGTTCTTTCCTCCTCAAAAGGAAGATGAGGACAACATTCAATGGAAAAAGCTCAAGTGTTTAGATAAGGGAGATCAGTCCCCATTTACCAACACGGATACAGCAGACTCAGTGTAGGGAGACAATATAATTCATTGTCTGTTGCTGACAGACTAGAGCAGTGAGTACTAAAAACCACCTGAAAATATCTTCAATCCCCATCTATCCTTTTCTACTTCCTCTCCCAGTACAGGGGAACAGGGAATGGGGGCTGCTGTCAGCCCATGATGCTTCATCTCTGCCTCTCCTCTGCTCCACATGTGTCCTCCCACAGATGCCATCCTGCCCAAACTGATCCCATGCGGGTTTCCCATGGACTGCAGCTCTCCCAGCTCTGCTCACAGAGGCCATCACTGAAGCCCAGTTCTACCAAAACCTTGCCACATAAACCCAATTCAGTCATCCTAAATGTCTTTAAAAACAAGCTGATGCTACCTGTACAATGCATTACTGAACTAGGAATTTGGGTTCTTTAAAGACACTTAATGCTGAGTATTCAAAATTTCATTCTCTGATTGGGAATAACATGTTGCAACTACACTTTGCTAGGCAAGAAAATAATTTTTTATAAAGGGTTTTGTTGTTGTTGTGGTTGGTTGGTTGGTTGGTTGGTTGGTTGGTTGGTTTTTATTCTGCATCCATTGTTTTCTGTCTGGGTTGATTTGGAAATACCTGGGGGATACCATTGCCCAGTCATGTTCCACAGATAAGCGTTCCTGATTTTAAATTGTCAGAAGTTGCATTCCTTGGTTCAAGACTGAAGACTGGTTGCATTTTATGAAAAAAACAAAACAAAACAAAACAAACAAACAAAAAAACCCTGTAATACAAATTACAAGTGCTGAATTTCATATTTACAAGAAAACAACACTAAGATTACAACAGCTAGATTTTGTAACTAAGCATATGAAACTCTAATAATTAATTAAGAATTAAGAATTTACTGAGAAGATATGGACAAGAAATTAGGCAGGGTATGAATATTAAAAGTTAACATGCTGTACCTCTGTATTCTTCCTTTGTGCACAGCTAACAGCACGTACAATCTGTGGCAAGGAGTACTGGGAACCAGCTAAGAGCCAGCGACAATGTCTTTAAACTGCTGGGCACTTCATACTCGACTTGGAGCCTGTAAGGTGAACTGCAGAGCACTGGCATGCCTCTTGGTCTTTGCAGTGAGTGTCAGTGGCAGTGCCCCAGGGATGTGTCCAACAGCCTGCATCTGTGCCAGCGATATTGTAAGCTGCACCAATAAGAACCTCTCTCGGGTGCCAGGAAATCTCTATAGAAGTATGAAAAGGCTGGATCTGAGTTATAACAGAATTGGATTCTTAGAGCCTGAATGGGTCCCAGTGCTGTTTGAGAAGCTGAACACTTTAATAATCAATCATAACAGCATTAGCAGCATTATCACTGGAAGCTTTTCCACAACCCCAAATCTGAAGTACCTAGACTTGTCGTCCAACAGCCTGAAGACACTGGGCAGCCCTGTATTTCAGGAGCTGGGGGCCCTGGAAGTTCTTCTGCTTTACAACAATCAGATAACGCATATAGAGTCTTCAGCCTTTGGAGGACTGTACAAATTACAGAAACTGTATTTAAGCCATAACTTGCTCTTGCATTTCCCATTGGACCTGTTTGTTGGAAAGCACAAGCTGACAGAACTCCTATTGCTGGACATTTCCTTTAATCACATCCAGTCTATACCTATTCAGCGCCTGAGTTCAGTGCCAGCCAAACATCTTAGCGGAGTTTATCTTCACGGCAACCCATTTCATTGTGACTGCACACTGCACTCTATGCTCATCTTCTGGTATCAAAGGCACTTCAGCTCTGTGGTGGACTTTAAAAGTGAGTACACTTGTTTATTGCGATCCGATCCAAGAGGTTACAACAAACAGCCTTTACTGCATGACAACTTTCTCAACTGCTCTGAAAGCACCATCAACAGCTCTTTTCAAGCCTTTGGATTTATTCATGATGCCCAGGTGGGTGACAGACTGATCGTTCACTGTGACAGCAGAATCAGCGATGCAGGCACACACTTCGTTTGGGTTAGTCCAGAGAATAAATTGCTGGAGCCAGACATGGAGACCAACAAATTTAGGGTGTTTCATAATGGGAGCCTGGAGATAATTGATGCCCAGCTAGAGGACTCTGGGCTGTACTCCTGCACTGCAATAAATAAGAAAAGACTATTAAATGAAACCATAGAGGTTAGAATAAATGTCAGCAATTTCACAGTTAACAGGCCTCATGCTCATGAAGCATTTAATACAGCTTTTACCACCCTTGCTGCCTGCGTAGCCAGTATTGTTTTAGTACTGCTTTATCTCTACCTGACCCCCTGTCCGTGTCAATGTAAGACAAAGAGGAGGAAGAGGAAGCTGAACCAAAGCAGTGCCCACACATCCATACTGAACTCCACACCGCCCCAAGAGCTGCCGACTGATGAGAAGAAGGCCAGCACTGGCAAACGAGTGGTTTTTCTGGAACCCGTACATGAACCAAAACACAGTCAGAACGGGAAAGTAAAACTGTTTCCTAATGACAATGTCACTGCTGAGAGTATCTTAAAAACTACTCGAACAAAATCCGACTCTGATTCTGTCAACTCTGTGTTCTCAGGTACACCTTTCATGCCATCAACTTAGTTTGCTGCCTGTATTTGTATTGTGCCGTTACATTTCTGAATACCTCCTTTGCTTGTAGCAACTATCAGGAAACAGAAATAAAGAGAGAAAATGTTTTAAAAAAAGCATCTATTGTCTGTTCTTGAGCTTCGACTCCTCTTTTTGTGAGTACAAGTGATACCTTGCTTGAGAAAAGCCAACAGGATGGCATTGACATGAGTATTTTCAGTGCAATCCTAGGCTTGCCTATTAATCTCTGGGACACACGCAGCCATCTCTCATCCACAGTTAGTGCTGCTTCCAGTGCATACAGCCTCAGAGCAGAGGCTGACCCCACACAAGGCTCACAGTTGTTCTGAGCATCCTGCTCATCTACAGGGACCACATGAGCAAACTTAGGTGGCTATGGAGGAAAGTGTGTAGTTTTCCTCAAGTTCCTCTTACAGACCCACTTTAAAATCATTGAGGAAATGTGTTTTCCAAGACTGATCTGAACAAAAAGATTAGACTTGCTCTCAGGATGCCTAGCAGTACAGGATAAATATTTATGGCCGACACCATATTTGCCAATAACTGTTTGAAGCCCTGAAGGGGAGGGGATGTTGTATTCATTTTACTTACAACTTAATCAAGGAATTACTCATGAAAACTGCTTATATTGGTTTTTAAATATATGCATGAAAAAACTGGTGAAAGTTAACTTGCTATATTTTAGTTGTATTAGTAGAGGAATAAAAGATGTCAGTTATTAGAACTCAAGCTAATCATCAGGAACTCATTAAGCTGTGATAACCTGATTGCTTGTTATCAGTTGTCCTATCCCGCACTGCTCACAGTATGCATGGTGTCACATACGGTGAACAAGCTTGCCACCGTCCCCAGGGCTCCTGCTTCATCTTAGGGGTGGGTCACTACTGCTTAGAGATAATTTCGCAATGTGAGGGTAGAATCTCATTTTATTTCTTCATTGTGCAGCTTTCCATCAATTTCACAAAATTTGCTTCCCTGATTATTTATCTATTTTTCTGAAGGAGGAAATGCACGCTTTTGATACATTGCTTTATATTACAGAATAATTTTCTCACAGTGAATTCAGAAAGTGTGGTTTTTCTCTAGACTTGGCCCTGTCTTATATGTACTGCTTCTCTCCTTGCCCAGATGCATCACTGCCAAAGTTTATGAACCCAGTAAAATTATCCCAGGTTGATCATGCAGCATTGGTTATGTGAAGTGTTATGTTATTGTAAAGAATATACTGTTATCATTGCAATTTCCATTTTTTATTTAAAGTTTGCTTACCTTTGGACTGGGCAGGACTTTGCCTGTTTTTCTCGCATTGAATGCTGCCTACTTCAAAGGAGTTTTACAAAGAATTACAGCTTGCTAAAGAGAATTGAATTGTATCTGACTGATTATGACTTTGGGGAATGTACTGAAGTGGAAAAGGATGAACAAAATCAGTCAAAGGACCATATGACATGGCAACTGTAATTTATTCTTCTGACACCGTAATATTCACTTGCATTTTTTGAGATTTCTTTTGAGAGGCGTGTCATCATGCTCAAGCTTACATTCATCTGAGCCAAAGCTATTAACAATTGATTTGTTATGGAGAAGTCCTGTGTAGCTAATTGTCTGAAAGCAAGCAGGCTGGAAAACAGTTTAGATCAGGAAATGTTATTGCTGTGATGTGCACAATGTACGTGGAAGTAAAGAACTGCAAGAGATTTTGATTCAGCTATTCAGGGAAATGTAAGATGGAAATTCTTTTTCCAGGAGCAGAATAATGTGTATTTAGAAGAGAAAGATCATCATGGTTTGGGTCTTTTACTTATGCATTTATCTACGTAAATTTAAAACAGCTTCTGCTATTGAGTAGTGTTTTTTATCTGCTTATGGGCATTAACACAAAATCAGAAAGTTTACATGTAAGGTCTGATGTAAAAAAACATTGATTATCTTCACTGAAATCAGAGATATAGTTTGGCCATCTGTTGATGAGGGAAAGTCCTGACTTTTAAGACCCTGTCTCCTTCTCGAGATTATTGTGAAGACTTTAAATAAGCTGCATGATCTGCTGCTGTGCTCTCCAATTCGTGCAAAGAGGGGACCACGGGACAGGGCTGAAACTATGAAGAGACAGAGCAGGAAACTGAGGCAAATATTCCTAGGGAAAGCTGAGCATATCAGTTACAGCTCTGGGCAGATGTTATGATCTGTTGTCATACATAACATTAATTGACCTGGATTTCTGTGTTTACAAGAGCTCTGATGGTCAATTCCAAGTTGGCCTGGAAAAGCAAGCAGCCTGGTGCCTGTGTGGCTGCCTGCCAGCTCTGCTTCTCTCCTCTGCAGCTGGGCTGGGCATATGACCCCTCCCCCACTCATGTGACAGTGACACTGCCTTGAACTAACGCAGCTTTTAGAAACTCCAGATAATCTTAAAAATAAAATAAAATTTAAAAAAAAAAAAAAAAAAAAAAAAAGGAGAGATCCCAAGAGTATCAGGTTTTGTGGGATCAGAGCAATGCTGCCAGATGACTGGAGCAGCTGAGTGTTGATCTGGGCACTGGGTATTTGCTCTCATTAATTGGCTGTATTTCTCTGACTGCTTCACAGTGCTCCGAGTTGCAATTGTGAATATGAGCAAGGTGGTAAAACTGAAGCCTTTGGAGAAGCTGTCCTACCACCTTGCCTTCCCCATTAGTCCTTGTCTTGGTTTTCATGTCACAGCTTCCAGCAAACACCAAAGAGCTGAAGGACATTTTTAATGCAGGGTGAGATCACTTCTGCAAGGTGTTGAGTGCTCCTCCTGACCTCAGTAAGGCTAAGTATCTGATGGTGACCACCTCACAAAATGTAATGAATGTCTGCCCCTCAACTGTATGTAACAGTTACCAATGGAGCTGGAAGTTCAGGGAGTCCCGGAGTGCTTTCCTGACACCAGCCCTTTATCTATTGTTGGTTATGACAGCCAGTGCCATGTCCTTGCAGCCAGATGTTCATCACTAGCTTATTGGGTAAACAGTGCTCTGTGCTGTCTATCATCTCGTTAATGCTTTTTTTAAAAAAATAGATTTCTAAGGATTGCTAATGATGGTGTCAAAAAACTAACTTACAGCTCATTTTTCTGAACAAGCAAAATCTTAGGCCACTGTAATTAAAGCATAAATTTTCATTAAGGATAGCACAAGTTTATTCATATTATAGTAAATCAAACTCCTACAAGGTGCTTTTTTATCTCGACTGTAGCATGTGTATTCCTAATAACCTCTGCTGTCCTTGAATTGATGGGAAATAAACTTGATCTTGAAGGAAGCAGAGCCGAAGTGTGCCATTATGGCCTTCTCTAAAGTAATTCAGAAGTGACTATTATCTTTGGATAACCACAAACCATCCCTGCCAGCACACTTCTCTTTTTAGTGAGACTGGGGGTATTAAAGGCTGATCTTTCACCATTTGGCTATGGCATATGCAGGAACCATTTCCAACCTGGTCCTTAATTGTTTTCTCTGTTAAGATTGTCTTGCTGAAGATAGCTTCTGGACCTGCCACAAAGTTGCTGGATCAATTTAATTGATATATCCAAACAGCTGTTTCCAAATGGCTTCTAAATTATAAGAATTGGCCATAGTAGCTTTTAAGAAGACAGAATATGCTTTTCATTTATGAAAATATATATATATATTCAGCAATTAAGATATTTTTTTTTTTTTTTTTTTTTTTTTTTTTAATAATGCTTGAATTATTATATATGGAGTGAAAGAAAAGAGTGCATCAGAATTACAGAATCATGTAAGGGAGTTGGAAAGGACCTCAAGAGATTATTGAGTGCAATGCCCTTGCTAAGGCAGATACCCCACAGCAGTGTATATTGAAATCATTTTTGTATGTTTCCACTATTTTTATATTTTGTCATTAGTCCGGTGGGGCTCAGATATGGATAAAAATGGAAATGTGAGAATTAGGTGATGAGATCAAGAAATCATTTTGTTCAAAGTTCAATTCATATTTTTATTAGGGCTAATATCTGAGTTCTTATCTTCAGTAGGTGCATGACAGAAATCATAAAATTAAGTGCTTTATAAGTTTGCCTAAATACAGTTTTGGGGTTTGTTTTTTTTTTTAGTATTTTGGAGAGTCTTGGTCTGAAAGTGATCTATACAAAATTAAAGTGCAAGAGTATCGGTGTTTGTTTCTGAAGAAAAGATACCCCAGCCTTGCTGAAGAGATCATGTCATAGATAGAGGACTGTGCCTTTCTGACTTCCTTGGTATAAATCTCTAATTTTAATATTAAACAGATGCAATGGAGAAAATCTTATTTCCTTTTGAATTACTGTTTTATGCTCTCATTTTCTTAGGTAGATCTTTTTCCCTCACAAATATGTCTTCCATCCTTTTGCAAAATAACATAATCAACTGGAGTAAATATTTTCTCTTTTACTTCTCCTGATGAAGTAAACTACATTTGGTAGGGGAGGAGAAGGTGGTCAAGAACGGTAGAGTCAGTTTGATGACACACAGATATCAGGAAAAGTCATTTGTTGATCATTTCCTTTGATCAAGCATGAAATTAACCAGGACTAGACATGCTTTTGTTAATTTAACTGAAATTTTCTGTCACATTTGACTGATTTAATATGATGAGCACATACAGCTCTTTATTTTTTAATTTCTATTTTTTAAAGAAGTAACGTTATTCACACAACTTTTTTTTGCATCAAATTAAACTGATTTTAAAACAGACAATAATGTGAGAGAACTCTGTTAGCATAAAGCAAATCTGGTATACAGAGAAGCTGTCCAGCCAGCATGAACATTTCTGAGGACAGCTCAAAATCATCTCAAAGTAGCTCTTTGGCAAGCTAGAGCCAAATTGCATCATGCAGACCTTTCCTAGACAAGCAGGAAGATTTCCTAGACAAGCTTTCTTTAATCAGATTAGCTCAATCAACAAACTCAATTGAAATCCTCATTTAGCTCTACCACAGATTGCCTTCCCAGTTTGGTGCCTTTATCCGCACTTTGGAGCTATGCTTGGAGCACTACAGCTGCTGCTGTGTCCATCCCTATTGGAGAGCTTAGGAGAGGGGAAGAGCAGTGAGAAAAGAATGAATGTGCGTGTTCAAGAGCTACCAGCTTATTTCCTCAAAGGTTAATAGCCAGTGGAGTCTAAAACCGAAATGCTTACCCGAACAAAAGAAACCTTAGACAGCTGTTCCAGAAGGGGGTTGAGGCTCTGATGTGTGCTCCTGCACAGCACAGAGCCTCCGTGAGTGTAAACACTGCCCTATGCATAAGTCACAATGTTCTTCCACAGCAACAAAAGGATTTCTATCACTTTCCCTGGTAGCGGAGGTGCTGCTGGCAATAATGTGCCACAAAATAAATTAACTGAGATAAGCACCACTGTTGCCTGGAGCAGCTCAATTAGCCTTTTGCACTTGGAGCAAAGGGTTTTACAGCACTAGGTAGAGCTCAGACGGGACTGACTTTTGTCCTCTTTGCTCTTTTTAACTGGTGCTAGAATAAGTAGTAACTGCTGTTTTTGTTGTATTTTTAAAAAACTGAGTATTTAAAACAAATAGGCAGTCAGTGGTTGCCTAACCCTCGGTGGGAAGGAAACAAAGCTGTCTTTCTCCTTGGTTTTAGTGCCAGAACAGAGGTTCTCTCTGGCTGAAGCCATGTAGAGAGCAGTGTTGGTCTGGCGTTACTACTGCTGCTAGCTCAGTCTTGTCAGTTAGGGCTGACTCCTGTTGATGGTGTTTATCAAAAGAGCAGAGGGTATACTTGCTTCACTGATGTTGTTTGTTAAAGCAGAAATTAAAATATTTGAGCTACTGCCTGAAATCCTTTCAAACAATTTTTAAATAAATATTTATGAGATCAAGTGAATGACATTAGTTGTTGAAGTCCTACATATTTATATAGATTTGTAATTTTCGAATGCGAGAACTTGCCGTTGATTTCATCTCCTTTCTTTTTTGTCCATATGCTGAAGAGATGGCTGATCTATTTTTCCAAGCATCTGCTTCCCCTCTCCCCTGTTTATTTTCAAGCACAGATAATCACTGCATACAATTTGAGCAAAATGATCATGTTGCAGTGAATGGTATCCATGATCCATATGTACTGTAGAGATAAGCTGATTTGTTGAGTATGCTGTCCTGTATATCATTTCACATTTTAAAAATATATTTAGATATGCTGCTATTACTGTTTCTACATTTGTGGTGTATAACTTTCTTAAGGTTTCTAGCCCACTACAGAAAAAGAAAAAACAGAAAAATATCAGAAATCATTGCATCTAATAAAAACAGTCATTTTTGTCATTTAATGCTCTAATGTTTTTGTCTTTTAGCAGTCTCAGCTATTAATTTACACCTAGTGCAGACTCAGCCTGGTTTTCATCAACACCTACTTCCTATCAGTTGTGAAAACAGACTTCTTCCCTTAACCTAGATAGGCAAACACATTTTTTTTTCTGAATAACAGTACTTTAGCCCATGTATAGAAGGTCTGTCAGAAAATTTTGTCCTGGATGAAGTAAATTTCTGATATAAGAAATGTTGCAGGTATGTAGAATGTACTTGTCATCATTTATTCTCTGAGAATTTTTTTATAGTTAGCATGTTGAGATTACCATTTTGTACTAGAGAAAATGTATTCATTGGTTCTCCATCTGTAAAATTGCCATTGAAGTGTTGTTTTCTGTATGTAGACTCCTTTGATAAATTCCTAATTCAATCATGCTTGTCACTGCATGTAAGTGCCTGGGGATGAAAAGAGTGCATGTGGCCAGACCTCATTCTTTCCATGTGGGGAGAAATTGTTGGAAAGCAAGCCAGAAGGAGCAATATACTGTTTACTTGGAGTGCTCATGTTGATTTATAATTGTTTCCTAATAAAGAAATGTAACAGAAAGAAGCTTTTAAATTCTCATAATCGTCATAATACGTGGTTATAAAAGAACCCCATCATTACCATGCAATTTTCATATTCTTCAAAACTTTGAGTAGATCTCTCTCTTGTGTATACGACAGTCTTGTGTATACGACAGTCTAGAGGGCAGTCTAGAGGGCAGGACGTACGAGGTGCAGAGCTGAGGTCCCTGGTCCCTCGTCCCTTTTGCTCAGCCCAGAGCAAAAGAAGCAGAGGGGAGGCGTCGTGGCAGCTGCAGCTCCTCACAGGGAGCGGAGGGGCAGCGCTGAGCTCTGCTCTGTGTGACAGCCACAGGGACCGAGGGAACTGTGTGGAGCTGCACCAGGGGATGGGCAGGGTGGGTTTACAAAAAGTTTATCCACAATTGAGTGGTTAGGCCTTGGAACAGGCTTCCCAGGACAGCAGTGGTCATGGCCCCAAACTGCCAGAGTTCAAGGACTATCTGGACAACGGTCTCAAAGCAAAGGGTTGGAATTTGGGGTCATCCTGTGTGGAGCCAGGAGCTGAACATGATGATTCATATGGGTCCCTTCCAACTCAGTGTATTCTATAACATCAGGTTAGTCCTATGCAAAAATACTGTATTCTCTAGGAATAATATATTTCCCATAACTCTTCTACAGGCCTGGCACAGTAAGACGTAAGCATTCCAAAGTGTATGTTCAGATATTACAAAGAATCCCAAATTACATTATTTGCCATTATCAGTGCGAATATATCCCCTGCTGCACTTTTAAGGATGCTATTCATCAGGGTGATGTGTGTGAGCCCTCTTTTTTAGTAAAATGGTGTTTAAAAGGCAGAGTGAAGTCTAGTGCTCAAAGGCAGCCCTGTTCCCTTATGGCCCAGAAGCAGTCAGCTCCTCCAATTCCTCATGTTGATCATTCCAGTCTTTGAAAATAGAAATATCATGGAGAGACCTTTTTGCCAGAGAAAATGCTGCCCTTTGAATTAAAGGTGTGAAAATAACATGCAGGAATCAGATATGAAAACTGGAAAGTAAAAGCAGTACCTAAACCTCACAAGGGATGCAGGCTTTTGAAAATATCTTAATACTGCCTTAATGAATTTCTCCTGGATACCAAATGAAGACTATTTGTCTCAACAATGCAGGTGCAGATCATTTAATCCTGCAAATGAGAAGGCATTCTAGAAAGGAAATACTTGCTGGGTTTTATCCTTAATAGTGAATCATCTCATGGTTGCAGGCGACTTTTCTCACAGTGGGAAAATGACTGTGAATGAATCCATGATCTCCTTAAGAGGTGGTGGATAACTTGAGTGATTTGTGAGGAATGGCACAGGACTAGTGACTCAGGTACTTCCTTAAGTTTCTGTCTTGCTGAGTAAACTTCTGATTATCTCCTTGCTTGAAAAATAAATAACTTTCAGGAGAGAGGTTTAATTGTTGTCATTAAGGTAGGAGTGTTTAGAATTTTATTTCCTCCTGTGGAAGCTCAAGTAACTAGATTAATTGTGCCCTAAAGACGTAATCTAACATTATTCTACATTATTTATATAATTTTTATAATTAACATTAACAATATTTAAAGATGTATTCACTAAAGAGTGTGACATTATAACAGGGTATGTGTGCAGCTATTGGCTTTGCCAAGTAGTATTGCACCCATGTGGTGGGAGAAGAGCTGACACAGTAACAAGGAAATGCATGCACTTGTATGGTGACAACTGAGATATAAAAAAGATTGAAAATAGATCTCCAAGGTTTCTCAAACAGCCAGTGTGAGAACACACGTCCTCATGGAAGCCAGAAGAAACACAGCTCTTCTGACTGCTGGCTGTGCTCAGACAGACCAACTGCAGTTGTCACCAGAACTTATAGATGCCACAAAGGTCAGTTGTTCCAACGTGCAAAGTAGAACAAGCCTTATCTTTCTGATAAGGAATACTGTTCTTTCCCAAAGCTTGTGAGAGGAGTTTGATTAGACACATAAGATTTTAAAAAGAAGCTTCATGCAAATATAGGAAACTGAAAATCATCGTTTATTGATCCTCTTATAGAAACCACCTCTTATTGATCCTCTTATAGAAACCAAAAATACCATGTAATGGTATTTTAGTAACATCTGCTTTATGACACAGAGCATTTCTGTGGAGCTTGATTCATGAACAACTGCAAAATATATTGGTTTCTTGAGCCAGAAAGCATTACAGTCCATATTATATCCATATTGCATCCACACTGTGGATGTTTCTTGAATATCGCCTGGCGGCAGTATAAGTGCTCTTCTTACTTTAAGAAGACACTTTCACAAGTAGTTCCCAGTTTCACAGGTAGTTGGCATTGTTGCCAATATACAATGACTGTATTTTCAAATATATGATGTTACTTACTATAACCGTAACATTTTCACAGAAGTACTCCCCAGCTCTTAGCCCACTACCATCTGCTTAGGTTTCATCTAGAGTTAAAGAGTATAAATGTTTTCCTCAGGACAGGCAAACTAGGGAAACTAATGTAACTCTAACATCTATACTGAAAGACTCTCCAAAACCTGACATATGAACCCAGAGCACGAAATTTGACTCTGTGCTGTAATAGCCAGAAATGAATCCTGCTGATCAGTGAGGATTTGCCAGGTGACTTTTCTTGGCTGCCAGAAATGCTGATTTTAGCTACAAAGATTTGAAGCCTTGTTGCTGAGGAGTGGTCACCTCTCACTGCTCCATTGAGTAGCAATGGTATATTGCTGACACAAACCTGCTGACCCAGCCTTCATTCCCAGCTTTGCTTTTTGCCAGCTCTACTTACTTCTGTAACAACAGCAGAATCTGGAAGTGTTATTTTAAATCTTGATTTCTGCTTTAATTCAGAAATATAACCCAGACTTAACTGCACTGTTCCTTTTTCCTTTATCTCCTCTGTATGTCATGAACATTGCTCATAGCTAGACTGAGGTTGAGATGTGCACCCAGCAAGAGAACCGGTGAGGACCTAGGAGATTTAAAGATACCTTCTTACCCCTTAAAAGTCCCTGAAAAGAATAATTTGGAATTATCCAGGTAAGCTCTGGTAACATAGAACATGTCAATCTGGATTGAGACCAAAGCCTAAACTTGTACTTTAATATTCAAAAGAGTGTTCTTTGAATGTTTCAAAAATGCTTCCAGATTGTCAGTAATCTTGACATGAACATTTTATATAAACACACTGTGTCTGTGAGCAATTTTAATTTTGGCAGCTGAAGCACAAAACCACTGTATTTTTCTATCATTGTTTCCAATTTAAGAAAAGAAGTAACAGAATCCTCCAATTTAGTCACCCACTAGCCAGCAATCACAACATCAATGAGACTGTTAAAACTAGAAGAGATTTGAACGACCTTTTAGAAGAAAATACAGTGAGAGAAGCCTATCTAAAATTAGGTGTGAACTGAGTCTCAGAAGTGGGTAATCTGTGGACTGCGGACATCAGGAAAAGCAAGAATTGCTGATAGGAGCTACATCAGATGCACAGTGATAAATTTAGCAGCCAGAAGTTAAAGAGTGGGGAATGAAGTACATCACACCACACAAAGTCCTTGCTAAGACTCTAGAATCAAAACGAGTCTTACAAAAAGTAGAAATAAGGAATATAATTAGATAAATTATGCCTTAACAGGCACTGTACAGATGCTGAAGTGTTCACTGTCTTCAGTGAATAATTTCTGATCTGTACTTAACCACATTAAATTAAGTGTGAGAATAGGAACATAGCCAGATAGGGAGGAATTCAGGTTAAAAATGTCTAAGTAAGATAATTATAATTGAAGCCACCAGTGCCCGATGACATTCACCTTTGCTCTCTTAAAAGAATAGGAAGAATTGCCTAAAGTACTCACTATTATCTTTTAAAGTTCATAGAACATGGACAGGTCCCAGAAAATGCAAGAAAAGCAAATACAGTCCCCATCTTTTAAAAAACAGCCTGGGAATTATAGATCATTCAGTGTAAAACCAATTCCTGGAATGATTCTAAAACAAGTTGTTAGATAACCAAGTTATAAGTGCCTGGAGCATACTAAGATGATAAAAAAAGCTGACAGATTTGACAGGAACAAATTGTATTGACCTGATTTCCTTCTTACAAGTTGACTGGCCTTGGCTGGATAATAGGAACAGCTTTCTGGCCACCTGGACAGTAAAACAATGGAACAGAATACTGCCTGAGGCTCTTACATCTGTTTTCCAACTAGAGGATTTTTTAAAACAAGTTGGTACAAAAGTTGGTACAGCTGGGAATTATGTAGGTCTTTTTGATCTTTCTTCACTGTAGAGTGCTGGACAAGAGAAGCTGTATGATCCTTTCCAGCCTTATGGATTATGTAGGAGTTGTTTGTTTTAATCCCCCTAGCTTTGTATCACGACTGTGTCTCATCCTGGATCCAGATTTCTGAAGACCATTAGGATTATATATGTGCTATTTTGAATAAAAGTGACTTAAAATTGAAATGGTTCATGTGTACTGCTTCTTCCTCAAACTAAAGGATGCATCTTTTCACACAGAAGTTTGTTTTAGTTTTGCTCTTTAGGGTCATACAAATGGTAATTCAGAAATATCTGCTGTCCCAACAGTACATTTGAAGTAGTATGACAGAGAATGACAAATAAATTAGTTGGGGAACAAACTGTGGTCACTCCATTGCAGGAGTGAATGCAGTTCCTGAATTCCTGATGGACCTGAAACCACCTCACAGTGAACTGATTTGGGGAATCACAGGCCATGCTGTCACTTGTGAGGCAGTTCCACAAATGAGGAAATGTCATTTGGGTTTACATTTCAAATATTTCCAAGTCAGTGAACCAAGATATTGCTATAGCCACGGATGCTTATCTTTTTAGATAAACTTTACTCTGCTCCATAGCCTCTGCGAGAACAGGCAGGTTTAATGTGGCCTTGGGTACAGAGATGGGAAAATGTCACAAAAACTTTTGGTTCTTTTCTAAGTTTGAAGTCTGCTTTGCAGTGAAACACACTTAGCACA